TTATTTATTTTTTTTTTAGTTTTTTGACGGAACCGGGGATTGAACTCAGGTCCTTGCACTTGCCAGTGAAGCATTCATTCTACTGAGCCATTTTCCCGGCCCCTCCTGTCTTTTATAGGAGCACAAAATAATTTTGGATGAATATGTAGTCTTTTTTTTTGAATATGTAGTCTTGATAGAGGTTCCAAGGTTTTTATGATAGGATGAAAATAATGCAAAATTACATTTTTTAGATATTGGATATATTGATGTGGTAAATTGGAACTTTAGATTATAGGAAAATTTGAGAATATTATATGAAAACATTAGATTAAAATTTGTTTTCTTATTATCTAGTATTATGCATAAGAAAAGCATATATTGTTTAATGGCCATAGAGTTTCTTTTTTTTTTTTTCACAAAGAGAATTTTGGAGATTGGTAGCACAACAGTGTGAGTGTACTTAGCATTACTGAGCTGTACTTTAAAAAGTTACTGTGCAGAATTTTATGTTGTATATATTTCACCACAGTGAAAACCTTTTTTTTTTTAGGACAAGGATTTGAGATAGGGCCTTACTTTGCAGCCCAGGCTGTCTTCAGACTTGTGCAGATCCTCCTCCTATAACCTCCCAAGTGCTGGAACTACCAACATGTACCACCATGCCCACCCCAATATTTAAATCCCCAAACTGTAGGATGTACAATAAGGATGAGATACAAAAGAGGAGAGAAAGAAAACAAAAGACAAATAAAAGTTTTCTCTTTTTTTGCATGGGAAATAGCTGAGCGGCATGAGCCTGCCTGGCAAGTGCAAGATCCTGAGTTCGATCCACAGCACCACAAAAAAAAAAAAAAAAAAAAATCTCTTTCTGTTTTGCATTGGTGTTAAGTATCAGGAAATGTATTGACTTGCTTGGTTGGAAAGCTTAATTAAAAAGAAAACAGTTTTCTTGACAGCCTTTCTAAAGGTTCACAGGGCTCTTAAATTACAAGACCTGGCAGAAAGGAATTAGAAGACTATAGAAGAGGTAAGGCCCCAAACAAATCATCATCGCAGATGGTGATAGTGACAACAGTAGTTTTGTAAATGGCTGTGCTAGTTAAAATGAAACTGGGATTTTCCTTAAATTTTTCACTTTCCTTTTCCCTGCTTTCCTCCCACCCGTCTTTCTGTTTGTATTCATTTTTGGAGTACTGAGAGTTGAATCCAGGGGCCTTCACACTGAGCAACTTCCACAAACCTTTTTATATTTCATATATCTAAATTTTTCTTTTTTTTTTGAGACAGGGTCTCCTGTGTACTTCAGCTAGCCTTGAACTCAGCAATTAATTGTAATACAGAGTTGTGCTACCACACCTGGCTAAGAATATATGTTTTTAAGGCCAGAAAAGCCATTACATATGGATTAGGATGTCTGTTAGCTCAGAGGTGAAGGAATGTCACACCACTGAGGAACTCCAAGTAAATTCATTAGACTAGAAATATTGGTCTTGTATTAAGGCAACACTAAGTCATTGAAGAATCAACAGAAGTAACACTAAGTTCATGCCTAAAAGGGTCCATCTCAGAATATTATGGTCCTTTAAAAGGGGTGATGAGGTGGCTGAGGCAAGATTACCATGAGTTGGAAGCCATCCTGGCTACTGGTGAGTTCAAGGTCAGCCTGGACTATATAGTGAGACCCTGTCTCAAAAAACAAAAACAACTTTTTGAGACAAGGACTATCTAAATCACTGAGTTTCTTAGGCTAGACTCAAACTTGAAATCCTTCTGTGTCAGCTTCTCAGAGTGCTGGAATTATAGGTGTGCACCACCATGCCTAGTTTTTCCTCCTTTCCTGAAAAAAAAGTTAGTTGAGAAAAGGGCTGGGGAGATAGCTCAGCAGTCTTAAGTGCCGCCTGGCAAGCCCAAGAGCCCAAGTTAAATCCCTGGGACTGTGCCATACGGCCCCTGGAACCCTGGGCACACTGTGTTGGCCCTAGAACCAGGCGTGATCCTAGCGCTGGGGAGGCGGAGACAGGAGAATCACTACAAGTCCAAGCTGCATAGCGAGATCCTGTGCCAAAGAGTTAATTACTTAA